ATATTTGATAATAAGGAAGAAAACATGCAGAACGCAAGAGAAGAAGAAGAAAGGCGTAAAAAAGCAACTTCACATTTCCAGTTTACTTTAAATGAAATCCAGGCACAAATGGAACAGCATGACATTCATAATGCCAAACTCCAGCAGGAAAACATGGAACTGGGAGAAAAGCTGAAGAAACTCATTGAGCAGTACTCACTGAGGGAGGAGGTAAAGGTGTTTCCTTTATTCATACAGGATCTCATTATTACCAAAACCTTTTTATCATTCATTGCTAATTTAGAACTATTGTTCTAAACTATTGTTCTAAATTGTCACAAGAAAATCTTTTGCAACTTTTGTACATACAAAGTAGAAGTCAGGCTTTTATTAGGAAAGGATTAGGTACCATATGAACTGAAGAACTAATTGGGATCAACACTTGATGGTCTCAGTTACAGTGGATTTGAATATGTGAGGTAATTTCTAGGAGATACATTAAATGCTACTTGTTTGCCATCTCATAATGGAAGATGGTAATTTTAGTACACAGATTGTTTTTTCCCATATTGAGCGTAACAGTATTTTGCCTCAAAGTGTTTAATGCTCAGACTTCTGTGATAATCTGTTAAAATATATAAGTACCGTTGCATTCCACCTACTATACTCTTTGAGAGAAAAAATGAACCTTCTTTTAATTTAACCCACCACCCACTCCTCGGTAGCCGCAAACCCAGTGAATCAAAAGTTTACTGGTTGCAGAACCCAATCGTTGTATTTGTTTTACAAGGTTACTCTGAAAGTCATGTAATATCTAGATTAGAAGCAAATTGGTGGTAACCTGTTCATTTTATTTTCCTTACTTTCAGATAACAAATTTTTGAAAAATTGTGCTCCTTGCCTTTATTATCTTTTAATCTAGTAAAATGTTGTTTCTATTATGTATGTTGAATTTGCAGAACCAGATTAAAATTAATAGTTAAAAATTGTGACCTATTAAAATGGTAAATTTTTTATATATTTTACTACTAGAAAACATATTTAAAATTGTCATTATTTTTCTAACCATTCCTTCTATCTTTTTAACAGTACACTAACTTCTTATAGAAAGTTTCAAGCTTAAAAGTAGATTACATCACTTACCTTAGGAATTATGCACTTTCGTGTCTAGCAAGTATTGTTATATCTCTTTTAAAACAAATCTAAGATGTCATATATTATTTCACTTACACTACATGAAGGCATATCTTGAAATGATAAGATTCTTATAAAAAGAACCACAATACCATTTTCGCTTCTAATAACATAACAGTAACTTCTTAGTCAAAGGCCTTAATCAAATTTCACTGCTGCTTCCTCCCTCTCTCTCCCAAGAGTGTTGGAATCAGATCTAAACAAAGTTTATACATTTTATTAGTTCTGTCTCTAGTCTTTTTTATATTAAGTTTTCCTCTTTTTTTTTATCTTTATTTTTTCAGTAATCAAGGAAATTTTGTTTAGGTCTATAGAATGAATTTTCTTTTTATTAGATTTATTTTTATTAAGTTCTCATAAAAGTTGTCTTTGCTTAAATGGAGCCTTTAACCTATTTCTTATTTGCCCAGAGAATACTCGCTGGAGGCTTTTGCACTTGCAGTGTTTACCCTGTGATAACTTGCAGTTTACAGTCCTATTTTTAATCCCAAAGTTTGCCATGAAATATCTCACTTTTATTATTATATTTGCATCACTCTAGTATGTGTTGATACCTTTGGAAACAAATGACATCATTCTATTCATATCATTCTGTTTTTAGTTGTGATATTTCCACTTACAAAATACAATAATTCTTAATCACTGAAAATGTCAAATCCCAGAAAACATGCATCTCTACATGTGATGTTAACATCGTTCTCGAACAGTTGTTAGCTGGATTCATCTGATGAATCTGATATGTATACATTTCTGTTGCATTAGGTTTGGAGACAAATTCTGTTTAGAAAGAACTCCAAGAATTTTTATATTAC